AGGGAGCCAGAAGAACCAATGGGATAGTGTTGAAATTTGAATTGTTAAGATATACCAGCCAGCTGTTTTTCCTTTGTGCAGTTTAAGCCAGGAGCTGAGGAAGCAGGATGTTTTAAATCCAGGCAGGACTATCATGCCTTCAAGGAATACAGGGCATAGAAATGGACTGGACCTTGAAGTGAATCGTCAGTAATAGGGAAAAAATAGTTGTGCTCAGTTTATTTTCTATGATTTGCTGATTGGTTAACTTCTGAGCTAATTCAGGTGCACCCCTCTCCCACATTCATTGTACCTAAACCACAGCCAGACAGGCTATGTTTCTCTGTGTTTTGTTTTTCTTAGTTGCTCTGTAACACCTAGCAACCAAATGCACTTTAACAAAAAATTTTGTTTTGTTAATAAAATCACCTTTTTTTGAAGGTGATGATTTGATACTTGTATCCTGAGAAGTAGCAGGAGACTTAGACTGAGAGGTCAGCTATCAGAGACTGCAGGGTTTTTTGCCCCCAAGTGCTCTTGTGGTAAAAAGAGGTTGGGGTACTCCTCTGAAAGAAGTTCAAGTGATAGAACACTGGTTTTGTGTTCATCAGTTATAAATTCCCCATGGAAAATAAAATCGGCATCAGACCCAAGAGTATTCAAGCAGATGGAAGGAGAAATGCAGAAGTGGCCAGTTAGCTGATTTGCAGAAATGTTTGGGGGCCATACAGCTGATTTTCAGTAATATTCATTCATCCACAGTTGGATGTTTTTCCTAAGCATCTATTCCCCATAGCTCCTTATAGCCATCGCCACATGTGGAAGCACCTGTAGATCAAAAATAAATTATAAATGTTTACAGACACTTCAGTGTTTAAAGGTCAGTCTATTGTTCTAGCAAAACTGCCCATTTTTTTCCCCCACTAGGGAGGATATTGTTCGGCCACCTGCCATGTTGTTCAAGTTGCTTTCTTGGCTGGCAGTATTTAAAGCCCTACAATACAACATAGCACACAAAAGGTTGGAAAGTGCCTGAGGAGTTTTCCTCCTGAGGCAAGCAGGGTCTGCAGAAGTTGTCAAGATTACCTTCTTAGTCTCTTGATGAGGGAATTAGGAAGACGACTTCAGCCTGCATCTCCATTTTGTACTTCCTTGCAGCTGTTTAGAAAGCAGCACTGACACCCCCCTGAGGAGACTGAGATTGTGTTGTCATGAGAGGTGGAAAAAGTGTTATACTAAAAAAAACCAAAAAACCCCCACAATTCAGAGTGGAGAAGATAAAGACACCACAACTTCCATTTAGAACAGGCCTAATAATGGTAAGTAACAACCGGTGTTCCCTCTAAGATTTTTCCATCCATGAGCAGAGTGGGTTTGTCTTCTGCACCAATAGTGAGGTCATGTGCGCTTATTCGGATGTGTGCCACTGTGGCACCCAAGTTTTATACACCTCTTCCTTTTGCTGCCATGTCTCTCATCCTCCCCTTGCCCCATCTGCTCCCCTGGTGCCTGCTGCTGCTCCCCACTTACTCTCCTTTGCTATCCTGGCTCCTGCCCTTCTCACTCCCCTCAGCCCTCTTGGGACTTGCCCCGTTTCCCCATCCTCTCTGACCCTTGCACTTGCCCTTCCTTCCTGTGCCAAGCCCTCCTCTAGCTCCCCTCCCCATCGCCTCTCCTAGAAAACTGATACGGCAAAGTTTTCAGTACGTTAGATGAGCCTCAAGGCTGCTCTAAATCTGCACTGTCCGCAGTTCCGTAGAAGTCGTAGGAGGCCACGGAGCAGCGCACGGCTCATTCTGTGGCAACAGTGGCCAGAGCCTCAGGCCCTTTAGAATCACTGAGTCCCAGGGAAACTGCCCTCTCCTCCTGTCCCCCAGCCCGCCATTGACAAGCGTGGCAGGGCACTACCTCCTGAGATCAGCGGCAACACATGCATGCCGCTAAAAGTCAGGCAGTGTTGCTGCTGTTTATCAGCTCTTTTGCTGACAAAATATTCCAACCCCAAAAAGAGGCATTCACATTGTTATCAGGAGAGTGCTCCTGCCCATCACACACTGATCATGCTGGTACTTGCCACCACAAAACTTTTTCCTTGGGAGATGAGGGGTAACACCTCTGAAGGACATAAGCTTTGCCGTGCAGTAGCCAGTGTAGACATAGCCACGCCTGCTGGCAGACAACTGAGCTGCAGCGGCCTGAAAATTGCAGCTGTTCAGAACCCTGTGCACACACACTGACAATAACAGAATCACATGTACCTGAGCCATCACTGGGTCAATTCATGCTCAATATTTAGACAAGTGGCTTTCCTGTATAGTAAAAAACACTAGTATAGTATACTAGCCAGATAAATCAGCAGCTGGGGAGAGCTATTTATTATCAATTTGCATCTACAGTTAATTCATTGGGTCTTCTAACAGAACATTCTGACTCAAAATTATACTAAATAAATATAACAGTGGTTCCCAAACTTTGATACCGGGGACAGCAAACCTATTCACAAACTTTCGATGGACAGGAAACATTCATTTCTATATTCATTATGCAGATGAATATGCAAATGTGCAAAATATATGTTTCCCATCCACCAAAAGCCCAGTCCGCACAGGCCCCAGTGCCAGTCCTAATCTCTAGAGCCCCCCACTCCTCCACTACCCCCCAGGGCC